GCCCCGGGTAGCCAAAATTACGTATACAAAAAAATACGGTTCGTTTTAGTACATGGGCCAATACATGTGGGGATTTGCACGGGAGGCACAAAGGCCCAGTTGTAGTCCACGGCCTAAAACAAGTTAGCACGGCCACACCCAATCCTTCGACCCCGTTTCCTTTCCAGAATATCCCCAATCGAGCGAAGCAGTAGCGAGAGTAACCTAGCCGTCTTCGCCTCGCCGCCACAGAGCTCCGCCTCGCCGGACCGTCGGCTTGTCGCCGAAGAGCTCTGCCTCGCCGGGCCACCGGCCGCGGGCACCTGATCCACATCCGCCGTTCGCCGGTCCACGCATGGGCGAACGGAAAGAAGCAGCGGTGCCGGGCGTGGCCTATGAGGGAGGAGGCAGCGGCGACAGTGGATCGAGCTCATGCAAACGCGCAGCTGCTGTTTGCAAAATCAGCAAGCGCAGCCAGCAGGTAAATAGTCCAATCCGTTCTTTGCTACTGAATCTCAAGCTCCCGTTCCTTCAATTTCTAGCGAATTATTGAACAGGTTCAGTACTTGACATGGTGATTTTGTAATGTATAGGGAATCTTTAAAAAGATGAAGCCAATTGCTGCTTATTTTGCAACTCCACCATCTAATGAATCTCAAGCTCATGTTCATGTTCATGTTCCTGAACCTGATGCAAACATTTTATCCACTGAAGCCTCAGATGCAAAAATTGTAGAAGATCTAGTTCCTGAACATGAAGTGTATAATGAGGGCTCTCATGATAACACTTTGCAAACTTCTATTCTAGGATTTAGTCCAACTCACATTGAACCTGATCCTGGACTCCGGAAACAAATTGGAGATTATCCTACTCCAGAAATCAGAGATGCAGTGAGGAGGGAGTATTTGAAGAAAGGTCCATGTCAGCCGTATGGGCATGATTTTCCTCGCAACACTACAGATAAAAGGGTATTCAGAGAGGAGTCGTTTGACGAGTCTGATGTTTTTTGCAGTTGTGGCAGTCTTGCTAATCTTGCTCTCAAGTTGGTTGAAACTAAGGAACATTTACACTTTCCTTTGGTTTACCGACTCATCACACTTGCTTTGACTTTGCCAGTAGCGACGGCATCTGTTGAAAGAGTTTTCTCAGCCATGAATATCATTAAGACAGATTTGAGAAATAAGATATCTGATGATTGGTTGAATGATCTGATGATATGCTATGTAGAGCGAGATATATTTGCTGGAATTGATGACAAGAAGATCATAGAACATTTTCACAGCTTGAGAGACCGTAGAGGCCATCTACCAAACCCTCCCCGTATACTTATGACTTAGGGTAAATACTTTTGTTATCTGTTTCAAACTATTTGCTTACTTGTTCCAATACATGTATTGATATCAGCTTGTTGACCTGTTGTAGGTATCTATTAATCATGGAGTTGGACATTTTGGGCCATGGAATGCATTATTCAAGCAGCGGGAGTCCAAGTTAGTAGTTATGCGTGACGTTTATGTTATATTTTGTGATTTTAGGTGGTTACAACCTAGTTCTTGAAAATCTTGAACTGTCCTGAATCATTGGTCATGTAAATTTTCGAATGCATCTAGCTTCATATTTGAATTTTATGAGATTTGGTTCAGCGGACTTGCATTCGTCAATCAAATTTTTTATTCCTTCAATGTTTCGCCCCGGCTAAGTTCAATTCCTGGATCCGCCACTAGTTTACCAGTTTACCATGTACCATGCTACTAGCATAAAGTATTTATGCATCTATCCAAGGAATCATGTACCTTCCAGATTTTCTCATATATTTGCACAGTACAGATTTTATTGTTGTGTTGTTGAAATAAACGATCATGGCAACACATGAATTCGATAACTATATTATTACAGCTGCAGCCTCATAAGCAGCTAAGCACAAGAACTGGTGCTCTGTTTTCTGTTCTTTGGTTCTTTTTGTCATTAAATTCCGCATGGCTTGGTTTTGTTTCTAAATTTCATGTTTTGTGCAGTCATATATTTACAGAAATCTTGAAGTCATTTGTTATTGCTGACCTGTTGCCAGTTTATCATGTGCCATTACGATCTAGTGTACCTATATAAGCCTACGGCTGCTAATCAAACATGAGAATATTATACCTGTAAGAGGAGAGTGTTAATCTGGAACACAGATTGTTCTGCTGAGAGAACAAGTAGCCTAAAAGAGAAGAAATTAACCAACCCCGGGTTGCCGCCGGTTGTACACGTCGAGCAAAGATCTCACTGTTCCGACGACTCTGGCATGCTGATCCCAGAATTTGTTTACCTGTTGTTCCATCCTCGTGTAGGTCAACTTGTTCACCACCTTGATGCTTGCTTCTGGGTGCTCGGTTTGTTCCGGGCACTCGCTAATGGAATAGAACAAACCTTCGGCAACATGGCCGGCGTCGACACCGGAGAGCATGCCGCCATCCTTGAGATATTTGGAGGCCATCCGCAGCATTGGATTAGATGGTCTGAGAAGCTCTGCCTGGTCACGAGGTTTGGGGTGCAGCGCCGCAGCGGCAGCTGCAGCATAGGCTTGTTCGACGTTGGCAGGTACAGATACCACCATAGCATCATCACTGCCATCATCATCATCATCATCATCATCATCACGATCATCACGGAGCTGGTTAGGATCGACGATCCGGAGATCGGCGCCGGCGGCCTGCAGCCGCTGCATGGCTTCTTCCGGCGTGAGGTGAGTGGCGGCGCAGCGGGTGCACAGGAAGGAGACGAGGCCGTGGAGGGACCTGACCGCGATCCGCAGTGATCGCCTCCAGGTCGACCTTCTTGGTTAGAGGGTAGGCTCGGCTGTACCAGATCGTGTTGAGGATGATGTTGGAGACAGGGTCCAGTGGACCGTAGCAATGTCCGGCCTGGAGCAGGCTGTGGTGGTACTGGGTGCACAGCTTCTCCCTGGGCAACCGGGCAAGCGCCTGCAGGTAGTATCCATGGATGGTGGTGAGCAGCAGACGTCTCAATGTTGACCGCTCCGGAGGCGAGGCGAGGTCTGGACTGAGATTGTGGAGGCGTCGAGAGGCGAGATCCCATGGTTTCTCTAGGCTAAAGACGGATGGCTGAGGTTTCTTGAGCAGAACATCCGTGATACCGTCAATGGAGTGAGAGTGATCGCAGGTGCCTGAAGATAGCACGGCGGCGACCTTGTCAAGAGAATGCGAGAGCGACTTCCACCCAGACACGAACTGAGCGGGGCACGGGTGCCGGGCGGCGGCCGCGGCGCACCGGAGGGCCGTCTCGACGGCTGCGCCGGTGGCGCCGGACGAGAACCCGAAGTTGCGCTCCATGCCGCGGTGCCGGATGACGAAGCGGGCGGCGACGAGGGGGTCCAGCTCGGCCTTGTCGAGATACCACATGGCCTTGGGTTCGGTGAGGTGCGGGAAGAGCGCGGCCAGGAAGGCGACGAGGCCGTCGAGCGACCGCTGTTGCATGTCCACGATCACATCCGGTTTCCTCCGCTTCGGGTTCGGGAAAGACGCCGCGGGGACGGCGCCGTCGTCGGTGTCATCGACGGTCACGGCGCGGGCGACGGCGACGCCGGCGACGATGTTGGAGGCGGGGTCTAGGAGCCCGAAGCAGAAGCCGGCCTCGAAGACCCCCGGGAGGAGCTTCACCCGCCCGTAGCAGCTCTCGATCCTGGCGAGGAGGTCCCGTCTGAGCCTGTCCCTCTCCTCTTCTCCGATGACGACGTCTTCGTCCTGGAATGCGGTGGGGCCATAGACCTGTACCTCGCTGATGCTGGTGCGGCTGGAGCCGGTACTGGTCGTGGCGGTCGCAGCTGCTTCCATGGATTGGAAGGAGAATCTGGTAATCTGGTCCGAGGATTTGGGGATTGAGCGGTGGAGCTAGCGATGTGCTCCGATCGAGGGTTTTGGGGATTTGGTGGCAGCATTGGGTAGTGCCAAACAGCACGAGTCCCGGTCGGTTTGCTTCACGACCGAACCAAGGACAAGTCGAGGGATCCTTTGCACTGCTACAGCATGCCTGGGCCTCTCGTATGAAAACAAATTTTTGTGCTTGTGCCCAACTTAGAATGAATCTCCTCATCTTTTACCCCAGTTTCAAGTACGTGCCAGTATTTTTTACCCCATTCAACAGTTTTTATATTTTACACAGTTTAATCAAATATGTGCCGCAAATTATCCCATTTAATTTGGCGTGTGTTGCGCGTCCGACGGCTGGTCTTTTTTTCAAAAGAGTGGTTGGGTCGCAAGCCGTCAGATCTGACATTGTTGCCTTCATCTTCACCATTGCAACATATGTGTTGTTGCAGAAGAAATCTTTGCAACATAGATGGTGTTGTCACCCGCAAAAAAAACATAGATGTTGTCGCAATTGTTTTCATCTTCACCTTTGCAACATAGGATCCATGGCGTTGTCACGCTTGAAGAAACTGTCACCTGCTCGGGAGGGTGGGCTTCCTGGCGGCGTGCTCGGGAGGATGGAAGGTGGGGAGAGGAGAGAGATTAGAGGGCGACACGGATATCGTTGGCGTGCTGGCGGTTGGCTGGGTATGGGTGGGGGGCGAGGCAGCGGAGGCCAGCCGCCTATGCCGGATTGTAACATGCTCCTTGTTGCGGTCAAATCGATTGCAAAAGAGGCCAAGTTGCAAACCTGCCTATGGTTAGGGGTACTGAATTGTCTGATCATAATCAAATCAAACGGTGACTGAGGCGATCGACATGCGCCAATGGGTCAGTTGGCTGAGCCCAAGCATTTCTCTTTATTTTTCCCTAATTCTGTGCTGACTATGCATGCCATTTTGGCCGTTTTGTTTTCTTTCCGGTTTTCCATCTGGTTTACTTACACTGAGAACTGGCCCCAACCCAACTGGTCACCATGCGCCGTGTTGGAGTATAATGTCCGGCCCTGTTTCACAGATCGGTCTTTTGGTTGCATTGGCTACAGCATGCACTTCTACATGGTATTGGAGTTAAGAGGTCTCGAGTTCAAGACCCTGTCAACGCATTACTAAAAAACAAAGATTTTGTGCTACATCGATTCCACGTCTAAGAACTAAATAAGTCTAGACGTGAGGGAGGGTATTGAAATATATTATCCGTCTCTCTCCATCAGTTCGGACTTTTGAATGAGTTGGCTGGACCGCTTGGTTGTAAGTTTATGCACCTAACTACTTCCGCTGCCCACGTCATCTAGCTCCAAAGGAGTATAGACATGAGGGGGTGCGTTGGAGTATAATGCCCGGCCTCTTTCACATATCGGTTTTTTAGTTGCATTGGCTAGAGTATGCACTTCTACACGCCGGGTCGTAGTCACAGTAGAGCAACAGACTTGCTCTGCCATGCAGTCATTACTCAAAGAGTAAAGAAGACGGCATCAACAAAATACGGAGCAGCAGGAGCCTCTCCTGCTGCCGTTGCTCAAATGAAAAACGGAAAACTAACATTCTATGTGGAGTCTTCCAGCGCGCAGGACGCTTCACCGGTGGATTTGGATCGTGGCCAGTTACCATGAATGCATGATATCAGTGTGACCCATGCGAACGCCCAGCCAACGCTGCGCATATCACGCCTCCCAGTGTAGCCCGACCCAACAGATAACATGCGTCACTCCTTGGTTTATCAATGGGGTTAAGAGAAATCAATCACCACTCCAATTTTGCTCAACAAAGGGTGAGCATTATATGCAAGGCGTACTCTAGTTGCTATGACGTGAGGCAGTGGCACGAGATGAATCATCCACTGGTCACTAACAACTCATTACAAAATTCTCAGCAACGACAACAAGTCTTGACATGAAAACACAGGACACTATAATTAGCAGAACAGGTCAACAAGGGTGGCAACATTAATTAAGCATACGAGCACAATATCATAAACCGTGTTTTCTCGAGCATACATACAAGTGCATATGTGCGCAACAATGTGATTGATGCATGCATGCTGCGCTATTTAGGACAAACCATCATCCTCGATGATCATAAACCCCATCTCTATCAAGTACTTCATCTCTTCATCATCAGGAATCCCCTTCTTTAAGAAGATTTTTTCCTCTTTATCGGTACCATCAAGACGATAATTGCGGTACATGCAGTCGCCTTCCAGATAATCCACCCAGTAAGTTGGCTCACGGCTGCACGCTATGATGCAGTCATTGGTATACTCTTCTGAATATAGTTTTTCTCCGCCCCACATCTTCTCAAACTCTAGGCCACGTCCAACGAAACTCCCCTGTGCTGGATGCACAACCCTGCTCCCGGCATACTCACAGTACAGGCAACGGACTTGTCCTGCCATATATGGATATACATGCAAAAATCAGAACGCATCATGCTATCATGCATGCTACTGGATGATGGAAGTGGCAGAAAGCTAGCTACTTGTCTTCCATCAAGGATACTACTCCCTCCGTCCTAAAATAAGTGTCTCAAGTTTTCAAAGTTGCGCTAAAGTTGAGACACTTATTTTGGGACAGGAGGGAGTACTAAACAACGATGAAAACAGAAATAACGCAAGGAAGGATTGATACATGCATGTATTTGGGTAAAATTGTAGACCCGGAAAGTCGGTGAGAATATCCTATTGCTAGATGATACCCTACACGTTGTTGAGGGAATTTTTTACAATATGTTTCACTGATATTTGGTTACATGAAAAATGAATATTTTGAGTAATAACATGTGAACTAAAGCTGAAAATGCATAATATAATGAAATTCTCATGCATGTTTGCATGTTAAGCCTTGCATGTTGCATGCTGAGTTGGCATGCTTCATGTTAAGAGAAATAGATTTGTTGGGGCTAGATATGAAAGATTTAAAGCGGTGTTCCAACAGGTGGACCACCAAAATGAGGATTTCCATAGGCCAATTGTTTGCAACTTAAATCTACTTATTCAGGAAGAACGGGTGTACTGTCGGAGACATCCGCCACCGTTGCAAGGGATGATCGACAGGTAACACAGATTGTAAATTTAATAACTGAATAGCAGAGATTTATATATTTGAATCTGATCGATGAAAAATGCTAAGTTGCAAGGAAAAATGACAGCATACCAGTGCCTGGAGATGGTACGCCGACAGGGCAGCACCAGCCCATCTCCTGAGTCTGAGTGCCATCGTTGCGGCATTCAGCAAAGAATAGCGTTGATGGTGCACCGGCAGATTGGGTAGTGAGGAAGTTGATGTGGGAGTAATGATATATGCGAGTGAAAGGACCCGTGTACACAGGGCCATCAACATACTTATTGACACCACAGATAAGATGCAACTCGTACTTGGGTACCTGAACAAGAACAATTAAGGCAAAGAATGTTAATCTGAAACACGTACAGATTGTTTTGCAGCGAGAACAAAACCAAATTATGCTAGAAGAAACCAACCCCAGGTTGCCGGCTATATGCGTCAATTAAAGATTTCACCATTCCAACGACTGCAGCATGCTCGTTCCAGAAGTCATTCATGAGTCGATCCATCCTGCCGTAGGTCAACTTGTTTACCGCCTCGATGTTTGTTTCTGGGTGCTCACTTTGTTCCAACTCGCTGATGGAATAGAACAAACATTCGGCAAGATGGTCAGCGTCCACGTGGGAGAGCTTGCCGCCATTCTTGAGATAGTGCGAGGCCATCCGCAACATTGGATTAGACGGTCGGAGAAGCTCTGCCTGGTCAAGAGGTTTGGGGTGGAATGCAGCAGCTGCAGCTGCAGCATAAGCTTGTTCGACACTGGCAGATACCATAGCTTCATCATTGTTATCATCATCAAGGTGGTTAGGATCAGCGATTCGGAGATCGGCCCCAGACGCCTGCAGTCGCTGCATGGCTTGGTCTGGCGAGAGGTGTGTGGCGCAGCGGGTGCACAGGAAGGAGACAAGGCCATAGAAGGATCTGACTGCAATTCGAGAAAGGCCTCCTGTGCTGATTGCCTCCAGGTCAACCTTCTTGGTTAGAGGGTAGGCTCGGCTGTACCAGATTGTATTGAGGATGATGTTGGAGACAGGGTCCAGTGGACCATAGCAGTGGCCGGCCTGGAGCAGGCTGTGGTGGTATTGAGAGCGCAGCTTCTCCTTGGGCAGCCGGGCTAGTGCCTGCAGGTAGTATCCATGGATGGTGGTGAGCAGCATTCGCCTCATAGTGGACGGCTCAGGAAATCCCATCACCTCCCCCAAGAGGTCAGGACTGAGCTTGAGTAGACGACAAGAGGCAAGATCCCATGATTTCTCAAGGCTGAAAACTGATGGCTGATGTTTCTTGAGCAGAATATCTATGATTTCAGTGGACTGGAAACGATCGAAAGTTACACATGGGCCTGACAGCACGGTGGCGACACTCTCTATAAAATGTGAAAGCACCTTCCACGCTGACGCAAACTGCTTCGGGCACGGGTGCTGGGCGGCAGCTGCAGCACATCTAAGGGCCAGTTCCACGGCGGCGACAGTGGTGTCGGATTTAAACCCGAAACTCTGCTCCATCCCACGATGCTGGATGATGAGGCGGGCGGCAACGAGGGGATCCAACTCGGCTTTGTTGAGATACCACATAGCCTTGGGCTCGGTGAGGTAGGGGAAGAGGGCGGCCAGGAAGGCTACGAGGCCGTTGAGCGACCGCTGGTGCATATCCCCGATCGCATCTGTTTTCCTCCGCTTCGGGAAAGGCGCTATGGGGATGGGTTCGTTGTCAGGGTCATCCACGCTCACGGCGCGAGCGATGGACACGCCGGCGACGATGTTGGAGATGGGATCTAGGAGTCCGAAGCAGAAGCCGGCGTCAAAGACCCCCTGGAGGAGCTTCACCCGCCTGTAGCAGCTCTCAATCTTGGCAAGGAGGGCCCATCTAAGCTCGTCCCTCTCCTCTTTTCTGACAACTCCTTCGTCCCTGAGGGTCCGCGGCCCGTAGATCTGTGGCTCGCTGATGGTGATGCGGCTGAAGCTGCTGCTGGTCCTGGTGATCGTGGCTGGATCCATGGATTGGAACTAGAACTTGATCCGGTCGTCGGCCCGTAGATCTGTGGCTACTGGTCCTTACCCTAGCAGTGGCGGACCTACGATTTTAAAACAGGGCGGTCCACATAAAAAAAATTGGTAACAAATATGACATGCCAACGTTCTAAAGTTTGATTTTAGGGAACATGCCAGCATTCTAATTAATTTACCAATAGCACATAGAAACAGATCAATATGGTCTTACAGACATGCCGAAGTTCTCGATTTTGCATAAGAGAAGCCTACATAATTTGTACCTTGAGAAATTCAAAGAAGACTATGTGGCATTTTTAAATTGTTAGAGTGGCAAACAATCAGATAAATCATTATTATGTATTGATCAGGTGTTCATGTACTGGATAGCAAAATTATTTGTATGTGTTCACAGGACTGTGTGTTCATGTACTAGTACTAGATAGCAAGTCTGATTGTTTAGTTAAGGCAATATACGACTCTTCCACCAGTCGACAACAAACAGCAAACCCTAAATCAGAAATTGAGAATGGGCAGTGCCGCAGTGAACAGTTTACCTCTCAAGTACACAGATAGGGCCAAAGGTTGGCCGCCGGGCAGGTTTACTGCCTTGCTGCCAGCCGAGTGCCGGAGTCGGCGGAGAGCAGACTGGGCGGCGGGCGGCTGCTTGTAGGGGGGCGCGATGGCGCTGAGCGCCGGGCCGGCGCGGCGGGCGGCTGCAGCTCCTGGGCGTCTACCGACGAAAAGGCAGGCAGCGACGGGCGGCGGCGTTGGCCGAGGCAGGCGGTGAGCCGGCGAGATCGGGAGCCGAGCGGCTGACGTCGGGGACGAGCAGGGCCTCAGCTTTGCCTGGGGCCTCCTATCCCCCGCCCTACGTGGGGAACAGAGAGGAAACGCGCAGCCCCCGTTCGCCCCACGCGCTCTCTTTGGGCCGGCCCATATGCGGGGCGGTGCTCCCCTGTTATTGTTTCGTTTTATTTTTATTTTAGTTTGGACTGTGCTAACTACCAATTAGTCTGTATTTAAGCAACAGATACGTACGACCTTTTGTCAAGCTAAACACCCATCAAAAATGAGCACATGCACACCCATGCATGCACCCGTCACTTGCAGACTTTTTTTTGCCAAACACATTGACTATGCATGCATGCAAAATAAAAGAAGATGATATCAGCAAAAGATTCTCTTTATTTCGAAATTTTAAAATGTTTTGTAGCTCATACCGTCGCTTCAATGAAAAAACTTTTTTCATATAAAAGATTCGTCGCGACGAGATCTTCCAAACTAGATCCCATGTTGGTATGTTCCGACGTTTTTTGGGGGGTAAAAATTACCACATGTGTGCTATGCAAGTTATCATGTCAGTTAAGCATAAGTTATCATGTTGTTTACACTGAAAATATCAGGCACAAAAATGATTGCTCCAACCTACTCTTCACATGCACATGTGTCCATGTAGGGGGGAATTAATTTCATCCTAGATTCTCCCTATTTTGAAACTTCAAAATATTATATAGCTCAAATCGTTTGTCCGACCGAAAAATTGTTTCCACATAAAAAATCCGTCGTGAGAGACCTATGAAAATAAATGGCATGTTGATATATTCTGATGAATTTTTTCGTGCAAAAAGTTATCAGGCCTGGCCTGACTAAGTTATCATCTCTTATGTGTGTATATTATCATGCTACTTAGACACGCGTTACCGTAGTATATTTTCAACAAAAAACTAGGTTAAAGTTACTGCAACGTTTGTGCATGAGTTATCACGTCCGTGGTCTGTATGTTACCACACTATTTACACATAAGGTATCGAGGGTATGTTTTCAAACAACCTCCTCTCCCCGGATAAAAGTTATCACGGTGTTTGTATGTGAGTTATCAAGTCTATGGTACATACATTACCATGCTATTTACACGGAGGTTATCGGGAGGGGGGTAGCTTCCTCCCATGCCCCCATCCCCAGGTCAAAGTTACAGCGGTGTTTGTGCGTGAGTTATCACATATATGGTGCGTATAGTACAAAACTATTTACACAAAAGTTAGGGGGAGGGGGGTTGTAAACAACCACCTCGCCAAAGTTATCAGGATCGAGGCACATAAGCTATCAGGTCTATGATGTGTGAGTTACCATACTGT